GAGTAAATATCGGGGGTTGTCATTGGACCTGAAATTTCAAGAATTGACCCAAACTCTCACGTCAGGCACCGTTTCCTTAACTTGAATAAGCCTTCGTCTGGGATTTGGATTGATTTTTAATTTTTTTGATTTTTTAGTTATTTTAATTTATTTTAAAAAATTGATTAAAAGTTGACTTTTTTTTATTTTTTTTGACTTTTTTTATTTTTTAAAAAAAAGGTGTAAACAAGTAGAAAGGAAGATGTGATCTAAAAGAGGTTAGAAGTTGATTTTTGGTTTTTTATGTTCTTCCCAAAAGAGGCTTTTAGCCTGGAATTAAAAAATCTCGTTTACGATAAGATTTTTAGTTTTGCTGACTTTTATGAAAATAAAATAAAATAATTATGATTTAAGTGTAACATTTTGTGTTATTAATTTTTTAATTTTTTTTTTGTGTGATTATTTTAATCAAAAAGCCCAAAAAGCCAATATGTCAAACGAAGGTCTTGGGTTTGGATTGAGCTTGGGTTAAAGCTCAACCAGCCCACCAACCTAATATAAAATTGAAAAAAAGAAGAAGAAAAAAGTCTCAAAAGGAAGTGTGTTTGGTTTCAATTTTCTAAATTTAATTTTTTGAAAATTATTTTTTTTTCTTTTTTTTTTCTTTTTACTGAATATTTTTAGAATTTAAACTTTTTTTTTTACTTTTTTAGATGCGCTTTATTGAGATATATCTAAAAAATAAAATATTTGTGAAAAAATATTTTAAAAACTTAATAAATACACAAAATATGAAAAATATACTAAATTTTTATATTTTTTTATATTTTTGGTATTTTAGTAAATTTTTTAAAGTTTTTTTCATGAAAATTATACTTTTTAAGTGTATTTATATTAAATGTGTCTAAAAATTAAAAAAAAAAAATTGCTTAAAGTATTTAAAAAATTCAATAAAAACAAAAAAATATGAAAAATAAAAAGTAAATTTTTTTAAAAAGTGTTTTCAAAAAACATAAAACAAACATGTTGGAATCTTCATTTGTTGAGCTTAACTTGCTGGCCAGCCAGCTTGTTAGTCTTTGCCATTGGATTGGATTGACAAAAAACAGAAGCCGCTGGGCAACTTAGCCCACAAGCGGGTTTGGATATTATTTTCACAGTCCAAGTCTAGTCTGATTGCAATTGGGAGTTTTTTTGTGTTGTTCTTTTATGGTGCAATATACTCTCGTTTTACTAATAAAAAAGAAAAAGAAAAAGTAATGAACATATTTTATTAATACAATATTGACACATAAAATAGTAAACAAAATATAATAATATGCTTTCGTTTGGGATGTAGGTTGGTTTTTTAATTATTTTAGTCTAGGATTAAAATGCCTTGTTTGGGATAATTTTTTTTTTTTTTTTTTGACTTTTGTGAAAGACAAATTGAAATAATTATGATTTGGATGTTACATTATGTCTTATTGAATTTTTAGTCTATTTTATCTTTTTATGATTAAAATAGCAAAAAAGAAAAACTCTCACTCTATGCTTAGTTGTGCCTCGATTTTTGTTTTATGTTTCCATGAGCGAAAAAAAATATGTATTTGACAAATTACTTTCAAAAACTATTTGAAAAAATTATATAAAAAATAAAAAGAAAACTCAAGATTGGACCCTTATAACAAAATAAATTCTAAATTTTTAATTTAAACTCTAATATTTTTGATTTGTTTTCAATCGATCTAAACCATTTATCTATTTTTTCAAATTAAATTAACAAAAAAAAAAAGTATTTTATAGTGGTTTATATTGAAAACAAATCAAAATATTAGGATTCAAATTGACAAATTAAAAGTTTAGAATTTAGTTTGTTACAATTCGTTTTTTTTTTTTTAATTGTCTCAAACTATTTTCATGAAAATTTTCCAAAAAACAAAACTACTTTTGTTTCTGAAAACAAAAAAAAACCCGACCAACACCATGTGGAATTATTTATTTGTTTTTTTAAAACGTGTTGCATTAATTACATAGTCCTAAAACAAGTGAGTGCCCAACGTCATAAAAATTCAGTTAGAAATATTTGGAGATTGATCAGGAGTTGGTTACACATAGAGTGGCGTCAATGACTGAAACAGACTTGCAAACATTTATAAAACTTCCTTTGACACATTACACTTGAGCATAAACAAATTCATTGTCTTCTTCACTACTACTTGGGTTTTGAGTTTCATGATATATTATTGCTTTAAACTATGTGAAAAAATTAGGTTTTGAGTGAAACTACAAGTGTGGAAAAAGTTGGATACTATCTTCATTTGTTTTCTTGTTCACCATAAATGACAATAGGTTTCACCGGCTTTTCGAGCTTACAAGTGAGTCGTCCAGTCATTTTCCGGCCAACTTTGCTGCTTGCACTTGTTGATACACGTTCTTCGCCGTCACCGGAGTCGGGCTTCTTCCCTAATCTGATCCAGTTCCATAAAAGGTTCCAAACCCTACTCTCTCTCTTTTTTTATTTTTCTTTTTTAAAATCTTTTTACATAGAATAGTATTTTTTTAATTCATATATAAAGATGTAAACATTTGGGTACATGGGAATCGGAAGGCATGCATGCATGCAAAAGTTTTAAGAATTAATATATATATATATATATATCTCTAAAACTAAAAGGAGCAAAAATTTTGTTATAAAAAATATTTGAGCCGAATTTTTTGACAAAATTTTAAGCAAGAGTTTATTTTTTTGGACAAACTTTTTGATTTCAAAATAATAATAATTTATTATTAAATATTTAATTTTTTTATTAAAAATATAATAATGATATTTTTTGTAATTAAAATATTTTATTCTTAAAATATAATGGTGGTGCCTTTGAAATGATGATGGTACATTCACATAAGAGAAATACATTACACACATGGCAATGATATGAGAGAGACTTCAGCTCTTCTGAAAATTACCAACAAAGGCTTAAAATAAAAAAAAAAAATTAAAAATTAAAAAGATAAAATATTATATTTAAATCATAATTATTTTATTTTTTTCTCACAGAAATTATAAAAATAAAAATAAAAAATCATTCCAAATAGAATATTTTAAAATAGACTAAAATAATTAAAAAATCAAAACTAACTCATTTCCTAAACAAAAGCATGATATGAGACATGTAATTCAAAAAAGAATAAATACATAAGAATAATAAATTATACATATAGTAAAAAATACATAAAGCCTCCGTTTGGGAAGTGGATTGGCTTTTTGGCTTTTTGACTTTTTTGACTATTTTAGCCTGGGCTTAAAAGCTTGGTTTGGGAAGGGCTTTTTGACTTTTTTGAGTTTTTTTTGTGAGAGAAGAATGTAATGATTATGGGTTGGATGTGATGTTTTGTTTGTTATGACTAAAATAGCCTATTTTGTTTTTTGTGGCTAAAATAGTCAAAAAAGTCTACAAACTCACTTGCCAAACACAGGCAAAATGACACAAGATTTAAGTAATTCAACCAAACTAGACGAACAAAAAATGATTATTTGATATTTAGCCCTCGTTTGGCATGTGAGTTGAAAGGGTTATTACGTTAAAATACTCATAAAAAGTCAATAAAATAAAATATCACATTAAAACCAAATCATTTCACTTCATTCTCTCACAAAACTCAAAAAAACTAAACAAACCATTTCAAACGAGACTTTTTCGTCCAGACTAAAATACTCAAAAAGTTAAAAAACCAACTCACATTCCAAACGAAGTTTTTTTTTTCAAAAAAAAAAAATGACTTGAAGGAACTTACGGCCATGTTTGATTTGTTTCTCACAAAAGAATTTCAATTTTTTTTGAAAAAATAAATAGTATCAAAAGTATATTTTAAATTTTTTAAAAATTATTTCAAACATTTCAAAAGATAAAATTTTATATAAAAATGATAAGTTTTTTTTTTATTTTTTTATTTCTTCCACCAAATTAAATTAAATTTTTTTTTTTTTTAAATCTGACAATTTTTGAAAACAAACCAAACATGGACTACATCTTCTAAAAGACAGAGGATCCAAGTTCTTTGATTTCAAGTAATTGGAAAAGGGAAGAACAAGAACTTCTGATTAACGTACAAGAAAAAATTATAATAACATCAGTAAATTTTAGCAAAACTTGTAGCTTGTGACATTCTTTAATTTGATTGCTTTTGATGTATTACTCTATGTTGCTTCCTCTGTAAAACATGTATACGTTCATATATATGTATACATGTCACTATTAAAGTTATTAGTCATCTTAATTATGAACCCAAGTTGCAAGAATTAACTTTGTATTTAACAGAAACCAAAAATTGCTGATGAATGATTGAGCACACTCCTAATTTCATAGGGTCATACAAATGTCTTGATCTCTATAAGTACGTACAAATTGTACTGAATAATCAAAAAAAATTTATATGATTATAGTCTATTTTTTCACGTGATTGACAATAACACTTAACAACCTACTCAACCTACCCAAAACCAAAACATAAATGATTAATTATAAAACCAGCATTTATAGCATAGATGAAGTGAAATCAATAACCACTCTTTTATGCCAAAAATTGCCGATTAAGGAACCTGAAGTCGATTAAAAAGTATACTTGTTCTACTGCCCTGAGTTGAAACAAAATGAAGACATAATTGAAACTGAATTTTGTACACAAAGGTGTTCCTGTGAACAAAAATTGTTTATGAGCTCATAGCCGCCTAATGAAGAGAGCAACAGAAGAATTTCGAATTGGTTTGTTCTAGAAAGTGTTAGGTCTGTTCGTTATGGTCAGTGACGTGCAACGTCCAAAAAGTCATGCAATTTGATAAAGCCCGTGGAGATCATTTTTATAAGTAAACATACCCAAAAACTGGGTAAGAAAAACTGTAAGCATGTCATGAAATCACTTTCACAGAAATAATAAAATCCCACTGACTTAATTTGTGGTGCATACTCTTCTAGCAAGCCTCTCTTTCCTTTCCATCCACCAATATTTTCTTCTTTTTTCTTACAAATATTTGTTTCCACAACAAAAATGATTTCAACAATGACCCCTCTTCTCTTTGATCCCACACGTTTTCTTATATATTCACACATTTCTAAACCAATCTCATCAATCTTCTCCTTGCCAACTTTCTTTCTACCCCACTTTCCCGCTATCCTTTCTGTGAATTGATCGTGAGTATTCTATGGAATCTAGAATAGAAATATGTTCTATCCTGGAATGCCCATTTTTTGTTTTCATATTAAAATACTCATCTTGGTACTTATGTGTGCCTTGGATGATTTTAGTTAACGATTCCCTTATTTCTTATTTTCTTGTTATACGAAGACAAATCATAATTTTTTTTAGTTTTTCTATTATGGTTAAAAAGTTGAAATCAATAGAACATACTTGCTTAGCAAAAGGAGTTGTGTGATTGCATGTTATTTCTATTCAACTATGCTCCATTCTAACTGGTTATCTTTGGATGGTTAATTTGCAGAATAACTCTCAAATGGATCCAATGGACTCGCTTAACACCACCAGCAAGATTGCGCAAAAGGTTGGCTAACACACACTTTTAAAAAAAAAAAAAGAACCAAAAATAAATTTAAAAAATAGGATTCTACAAACAGTATGATCAAAGTTCTAAAATTATGTTGCCGGTTTTTGGGCCCACATAGTTTTGGCTTGTTTCATTGGGATACCCTTTAAACTAGTAGCCTCATTTTGCTCTCTGTTGACTAAAGAGTGTCCCAATTCTGCTTTTAAAGTCCTGTCGTCAGGACTATCAATTTTCTTAGGCAAGCATAATTTTTCATATATCCATGCCTTCTTTCAGTCAATTATTATTCAAATGCTCTTCTAGTTTCCAAAGTTTCTTTGTGATTTGTAATTTATTCCAGCCGTGTATTCAACCATTCACTTTTCTCAGTTCATTGTAACCAAAACAATATGCTGAATGGAACTGTTATTTATCAACTGCTTGGCCTAATGGGGCTGTTTTATTAGTTGAGATTTTGATATGCAAATAATTTATAACTTTTTTCATTGTTTTCATTTTTCAAACAGGTAAGAGAAGACACTACTAACCTTGAATCAGAACCTGTAGATCCATACTACAGCAACAATGAAAAAGCGATGACCGGTTGTCTAAATATTGGAGACTGCATAAAGAGAAAGAGCACGGGAGGCTGGAAGTCTGCAACACTCTTGTTGGGTAATAGATTAATCTTTTTTGCATTGTCATCATTATTTATTTATTTTTAAAATTTTATGGTGGATGAATTTGCTATTAGTTAATGTATCAATAATTTGAAGTTTCTTGTCCTCTCTTGGAGCAGCAAATCAAGGCCTTGCAACACTCGCTTTTTTTGGTGTTGGTGTGAACTTGGTCTTGTTCTTAACCCGAGTCATAGGGCAAGACAATGCCAATGCTGCCAATAGCGTCAGCAAGTGGACTGGGACTGTCTATTTGTGCTCACTGGTGGGAGCGTTCCTTAGCGATTCCTACTGGGGCCGTTACCTAACCTGTGCCATTTTTCAGTTGATATTTGTGTTGGTAATACAAAATAGTCAATTACCATTTTCTTTAATTATTTTTCAGTTCATATCCTACAATTTCTAATTAAATTATGTATTTTCAATCAGGGTTTGGTTCTATTATCGCTATCTTCTTGGCTTTTCTTGATCAAACCTGAAGGTTGTGGCAGTGTAGAAACTTTTTGCACGCCCAATTCTTCAATTGGCACAGCCACGTTTTACATGGCTATCTACTTAGTGGCGTTTGGATATGGCGGGCATCAACCCACGCTAGCCACATTCGGAGCAGACCAATTCGAAGAGACAAATCCTAAAGAAAAGAGTTCTAAAGCTGCTTTCTTCAGCTATTTCTACTCTGCACTCAACGTCGGCTCCGTCTTCTCCAACACCATTTTGGTTTATTACGAGGATGTTGGTAATTGGACGCTCGGGTTTTGGGTATCCACTGGATCTGCTGTCATAGCCCTAGTGTTATTTCTGTTAGGATCACCGGGGTATAGGTATGTTAAACCATGTGGCAACCCTTTGGCACGTGTCGCTCAAGTATTTGTCGCAGCAGCTAGGAAATGGAATGTGGTCCCAGCTGATAAGAATGGATTATATGAGTTGGAAGGATCAGAGTCTGCAATTAAAGGGAGTAGAAAGATTGTTCACAGCAATGAATTCGAGTGAGTATTTTGAATTTTCACTTGCTGTTTGTATACTAAATTTTGGATTTTTTTTTTTTCCTTTTTCCTGGTATATACATTAGTACTATAATTGATGGCCTAGAACAACATAGGATTTCTTGATTTCATAGATTTATTTTATTTGATACTTATGTTGTTCCTTGGACATGATCAGGTGTTTGGACAAAGCAGCAACCTTGACAGATAAAAATGAGAGTGAAAACGGCTTAACAAACCCATGGAGACTTTGCACCGTCACACAAGTGGAAGAAGCCAAATGCATTATAAGAATGTTACCCATTTGGCTATGCACAATCATATACTCGGTTGTATTCACTCAAATGGCTTCGCTCTTCGTGGAACAAGGACAGGCCATGAATGCGAAAATTGTTGGTGGTTTCCATGTCCCAGCAGCAAGCATGTCGACTTTTGACATCTTCAGTGTCCTAATTTGCACCGGCATTTATTGCCAAGTCCTAGTGCCAATAACCGGTAGGTTAAGTGGAAACCCCAAGGGCATAACCGAGCTTCAAAGAATGGGTGTTGGGCTTATCATTGGAATGCTAGCTATGGTTGCAGCAGGTGTTACCGAGATAGAAAGGCTAAAAAGGGTAACTCCTGAAAACCATTCAAGCTCTTTAAGCATTTTTTGGCAAGTACCACAATATGTCCTTGTTGGGGCGTCTGAGGTTTTTATGTATGTGGGACAATTAGAGTTCTTTAATGGGCAAGCGCCAGATGGGATAAAAAGCTTTGGAAGCTCGTTGTGTATGGCATCGATATCACTTGGCAATTATGTTAGTAGCTTGCTTGTTAACATGGTGATGGGGATCACAGCTAGAGGTAAGAGCCCGGGTTGGATCCCTGATGATCTAAATAATGGCCACATGGACCGGTTTTACTTCCTTATCGCGGTCCTAACAGCAGCTGATTTTGTGATCTATGTTTATTGCGCAAAGTGGTATAATTGTATCAATGTTGAGGAAAGCAAGATGGGACTTGAGAACGATGGACAATTTGCAGAAGAAAAAGCACTCAATAGAGTGTAATTTTCCAAATTTGACTCCTCCAATCTTGTTTAGAATGATAATCATGAAAAAGGAAAAAAATAGAATAATCATATCGAGTATTTTCTTGTGATTGTAGAGGGGTTGAACAATGATAAGGTCGATAGAATCGTTAAGGTTGGCATGTATGCAGGCTTATTTCGGGCTATATTTTGTTGTTAAGGACATGTTTAGAGCCTTCTCTGTAAGGTTGTTTTGCATTAAGCAATTTTTGCTCAATCGTTTTTTCCTTTCAGACCATAACTTATTTAAAATTTCAGTTATTGTAACTAAATTTATGAGCAAATCTTCAAGATGCAAGGATCAAAATTTCATTTCGCTATGTTATTTACGTTATGTTGGGATAATGAAAACCATTTAGGAAACATAAATAAATAAATGATAAAAGAATTTGAAAATTTACGAAAAATGTTTGGAAACTAAAACTAAAGTCTGTATAAAGGTTGACACATTCTAAAAAGCTAAATAATTAAACATTTGGCGGTATATGAATATTAGAAGCTCACAAAAAAAAAAAAAAAAATTATAACGAGACAGAACTAAAAAAATTCACAACATGTCTACAACTTCAACAAAATGTAATGCTATTATCAAACTGAAATACTCTGTTTGAAGACTTGCTTAGTTGGGAACTATGTTTTTTACAATCTTTACCAAAAAAACATTTTTATTTCACAATAACAAATAAAGAAATAAGTGACTCGATTATGTTGGGGTGCTATAGAAAATGGTGTCTCTAATCATACTATTATTTTTAATCTTGTACTTGCTATCTCTTCTCTTTTCTAACTTCTCAAAAACTCTTATAAATTAATGATTTTTTTAATTATTAAATATTTTCTTAAGAACAAAAATATAGATATGAATAACCATTATCAGATATTTGTAATAGGTTTTTAAAAAAACTCATTTGGGATGATTTGTAGTGTTTCAATATGTTTTTTGGGGGGAAAAATTTGAAAGTTTGACATTTCACTAATCCTTTATTTCGATTTAGTAAAAAACAACATTTTGGCCATTTCGATGGAAGCAAAACATGACCAAATTTTGTTCATCGCCCAAGATGTTAACAATAAATCATATTATCAAGACCACCAGGTAACACCTTATTTGAGAAACAAGAGAAAACAAAATGAAATTTTGTTCGTTCCTATCATATCAACAATAAATCATATTTAGACATGTCAAGATTAGATAGCACCTTCTCCAGATACGTTAAATTGCAATTATAATGGTATTTTGCAACCGTAATAACAACCTTTGCTAGAGGGAAGTGTGATGTAAGACTCTTCAATACATACATTATTGATTTGGAAAATGACACTCCAATTTGTTGTGTGCGTAAATTTGTCCACTAATTTCGATGTCTTTTTAATGTTTTCACATCATTTTATAGCCATATATATTATATATAGGAACATATTGGACTCTGAAGAAGACGTAGCAATGTTAATACATGGACTATTCAATTGACAATGGCAAGTCAATTGTAAGTTTTCCCATCAATGAAAGTGTAATCAAATCGGCCAATTCAACACAATCACAATCATATATAGCCAATAGACTTTGATATGTCTCCTGTGAACTTTATCATATTTTGCTGATAATTACTTTAAGTATACTAGTAACATTTAATATTATTATAATTTGAATATCACAATTGACATAATGATAAAGTTGATCCACTTTGACATGCCAGTCATAAATTTAAAGTTTTGTTCTATTCATTTATATAAATTACTTTCATCTAACTCTCCTCATTTGAACCAGTCCACCATAGTCCATCTCTACTAATCCAATATGTTCATCTTATAAACCATTGTGTGTAGATAATTAATGAAAAAAAATTATATTTGATTTGATAATTGTATACAGAGAATTCATGAAAAAACATAATTTAATAATCTTAATCAAATGATTTTATCATATTTGTATTTTTAAAAAATTAATGATTTATTTACAAAATCGTATTTATTGTCAATTTGTTTAGAATAAATATGTTGAAATCACGTGACTAATATTATTGAATCATTTTTTTTTCATTATATGTTCAACAAATCATATAATTGATAAAATTATTATTGATAATTTTAATATTATTAATAAAATTTCTCAAAAGTAGCCAATATTTTTTTCTTCTTCTTCAGAACATCATCTCACATATAAATTTTAAAAGGTAATTTATACAAAATCTCTCTAAACTATAAAGAATTATTATTTTAACTCCTAAATTATAAAAGCATATAAATAATTTCTTAAACTATTAAGATGTATCACTTCACTCTGTAAATTATAAAAGTATACAAATTAACCACATAAACTATAAAAACATACAAATTATCCCTTAACGGAAGGAGTCAAAGTAAAACGTATTAACAATTTAAGAGATTCATTTATACGCCTTTCTAGTTTAGAGAACAAAACAATACTTCTTAATCGAATGATTTTATTATATTTATCTTTTAAAAAAATTAATGATTTATTTATAGAATCATATTTATCATCAATTTATTTTAGGGTTTTTTACTGGCCGGTCCTGAGTTTTGCCCTTATTCCCTTCTTAGTCCTGACTTTTCATCTTGTGCACCAATAGGTCCTGAGCCTTTTTTTTTTTTACTGTTTTACCCCTCTCCCGTTCTGGCGCGTTTCTGTTTAGATTTTCCATCAAAATATTGTGTTTGTGATTTGGATTTCGGTGGAACTTCACGATTTGCTACTGTATTATTGTTGAGCTTCGTGATTTCTGATTTCGCGCTTGCTGTAAGGTCCTGAGCCTTTTTTTTTTACTGTTTTACCCCTCTCCCGTTCTGGCGCGTTTCTGTTTAGATTTTCCATCAAAATATTGTGTTTGTGATTTGGATTTCGGTGGAACTTCACGATTTGCTACTGTATTATTGTTGAGCTTCGTGATTTCTGATTTCGCGCTTGCTGTATCTTTGCGATTGCGTGCTTGGTGATTCTTCCTATTTGCGATTTCGCGTTTGGTGTATAGTTACATTTTCTGATTTGCGATGTTGTGGAGTTAGGTGGACTGGTATGTTTGATTTTGATTTCAATTTCAATGTTTTGGTTCTTTTTAGTTTGAGTTGGTGATTTTGATTTTGTGGTGATATTGTTGTTACTCTGTTGTTTCTGTTGCGATTGAATTTGTATTTTGATCATGATATTGAAAGTTTTGAGATATGTATTTGTTGATTGAATTTTGGATTTTTATTTTTTTTTTGGTTACGAAATTGTGTTGATTGAACACAGGTGTTGGTTTGTTATTTTATACAGTGATAATTTTATCACTGTGTATTTTGGGGGTGATGTTGGATTAACTTTTTCAACAGTGATAAATTTATGAGTGAGTATGGGAATAGGAGATGAAAAGGTTGCATAATGTAATGGTAAGATTCAAATCGAGTTACCATGTCTAATAAGTGTAAGCCTTATTCACTGTTCTTGGTCTTTGGTGGTGTTAACTGTTAACGTTATTAGTGTTGGTTTTTAGATGTGTTTGAGTTGGTTGATAATTTTATCACTGTATTTGATTTTGATATGTGAACAACTCATTTTAATATGTTGAACCCACTGCCTACTTTAGTCTCTTGAGCCGACTCTCTCCCTTTTTGTTAATTGATTTTTTTTGTATCAAAAATTTTAAAAAAATATATATTTTAAAATGAACCTAATTTTGAACTTGAAAACCAACACCCTTATTACTTGATCAACGAACATTTTACATATTCACAAGTTTTATTTTCTGAAAATGCCCTAATATTGTTGAAATTTGCAAGTTGTAATTGAACCATATCTAGGGTTTTAGAAAATGTGTTTGACTAGGGAGAGAAATAAGGGTTTCAGTTGCTTACGCTTTACAGGCATGTTTCCTCGAATTTTTTGTTCGAATCGGTTGATTGGGTGTTCGAATCGCTTGGGTTGTGGTCGTTGTTTTGACTGAGAGTGGAAGGGATTCGCCGACGGTGGAGAATGAGAAAACAGGTGTTCAATCGCGTGAATCACGCTTTTGTTTCCCTTGTCTGGCAAATATATTGTGTTTGAATAGTAATGGCAAATATCTTGGTACGATAGGAAGATATTTCGAGTTTTGCAATTCATTTTCAATTTAAATTGTTCAACATTTCAATTTAGAAAATGCTTCAGCTTTCTGATATTCATATTCATATGAAATATAAACATATTATATTTGGTATTGAAAAAAAAATACTTGCAATACTTATTAAAAAAAAATTAAAAATTAAATTAGCTATCAACTTAAAATTAATAAAACTTGATTCTCAAATATTAGCATTTTGTATTGTAAAATTATAGTAGGATATTTCAACATTCTTGAGCTCATGTGTAATTAAGTACAAATAATTTTTTTTAATTTTTTTTTTTTACGAATGTATTCTAAACATTGAATGTAATTAAGTACAAAACATTGAATGTTTATAAACATTGAATAATTTTTTTTTTTTAACGAATGTATTCTAAATATTAAATGTATTCTAAACATTGAATGTAATTAAGTATAAAACATTGAGGTAGCGTTTGGTAGAGTTTTGTAAATGTGATTTGAGAATGAATTGTATTTTGAGTTTGTGTGTTGTGGAATTATGATTTGAGTGTAGAAAATTTGTTTGGTTATGGTTTTTAAATAGAGTGTTGAAATGTGTTTTGAATATGTATTTTGAATTATGTTTTGAAAGTTTGATGTGACATGTGAAATAAGAAAATTTGTTTGGTAATGTGTTTTCAAAATAGTTTTCAAAACTTAATTCAATCAATAATTTATAATCAAACACACAACTCATATATCGATATCCGTATTTTTTATCAACAGTAATAACCAAACTATTTTTAAAATACTGAAATTAAAAATTAATTTTTTTTCAATAATTTTTGTTGAATAAATTTTTTTTCAAATTATTTTTTCATTTTAAAAAAATCTATATCAATTATTTTGTGTCAATTAATTTTTCTATCAATTCATTTTTTACGCCTGTACAAACATCTTGTACAATACGTTTTTTATTTTTTTTTAAATTTTGTTAAAGTCAACAACTTTCATTAAAATATGAAAAATAAAAAAATAAAATTTTCTAAAAATTATTTTCTGAAAAGTAAAACCAAACAAGCTTAATAATATCATAAGCCTCTGTTTGGCAAGATGGTTTTCAGGCTTTTTTGGCTATTTTAGCCACAAAAAACAAAATAGGCTATTTTAGTCATAACAAACAAAACATCACA